CAAATACTGTCCTATCCTAACAAACCATACATCAATGGAAAGATTATTTATTCAGCTTTCAGATGATGCATAAATCTCAATTTCACAAAATTGACCCTTATGACTGTGCTCCATGGTCACATATAATTTTATAATATATAATCAATATACTAATTTTTTTAATATTTTGAATTAGATTTTATTTTTATGTTTTGTTTTCACTTTAATTTTCAGGTTTTAGTCATTTGGTTTTTTGTCATTTTTTTTTAATGTCCATATAGTTTCTATTAACTTTTTAGTTTAGGTATTTTTTTCGTTTTATTATTTTAGTACTTATATTAAAAATGAGAAATGTTGCCTTGGCAACTAGCTGAAATAAAATAACATTTTATATTTTATTTCATTTCAAGCAACAATTTTTTTTTTTTTACGGTTTTAATATTAGTTTTTGTTTTCTGTAATAACCCTGATTTACAATATATTTTAAAATAAAAAGTCTAATGTGACATTATTACAAAGTGCACTTTTTAAATCTACTTAAGTGCATTTAGAAACATGGTCATGAAAGTCACTTAAGTGGCTTTGTATTTCATTGTATCATTTAAAACTATTTAAACTCTTTTTGTCTAATTTCAAAATGCTTGAAAAGTGACTGAAGTGTCCGAGTACTTTTGTCTGTTATCATGTTTACATGCACACCAGTAAGCTGCTAACTAACAAATATCAGCTTATTAAAATAAGCAGTTTTCCCTGTTTACACCTGACAATGCAATACTACGTTTGCATGACTTTATTAATAAATCAGGTTATTTCCCTGTCGTGACGTCAAAACACAATCATTTGTGTATTCCAGATGTCGTCAGTTGTAATGATAAATAAAGCTTGCAACATGTCAGCGGGACACTTACAGCTCATATATTATCCTCTCATGCAGTTACAGAAGCAGCGTTTTGACTGCTGCACGAGATGAGAACACATTTTGATCATTTTCTGGGTCATGAAAGAGTCTGCGTTTCTGATATATTTCGCTCAAATCTGCACTAAGGATGCGTTCCTGTCACGTATCACACATGCACACTTCAATAATCCCACAGAAAGCAGGTTAATGCATTTACATGAGGCAAAAAACGACCTGTGTCGAGTCGACTGGTTTATGCTTAAGCCGTTGATGACCTTACTCCGATAAAAGAAAACGGCTTACGGCGTTTACATGCTTATTAAGTATAATCGGCTTAAGAACGTGCATGTAAACGCACTCAGTGACAAATAAGATATTGCAGAAAGAGTCTTCATGCCCTGAACCCTCCTCTGCTGTTTAGGTGAGTGGGTTACCTCATCCTGAAATCATGTGGCTTCTGAACGGGAGGCCCATATATCCAGACCTCACTCACCGAATGCTTGTGAGAGAAAACGGCATCCATTCTCTAGTTATGGACCCTCTGACTCAAGCTGATGACGGGACGTACACCTGCATCGCCTCAAATAAAGCGGGACAGAAGCTCTGTAGGTTAGACTGCAAGGTACTGGAGATATTCCAGCAAGATGTAACCTGCAGTGATCCCTAAACATATCATGAGCTCTTAAAAATGTCTGAACACCATTGCATTAGGAGTCCTAGCAGACTTAATAAACAACATCCATCCCTTGAGAAAAAGAAGTACACTTTACCATACTTTTAAAACAAGTACTTATTGAAAGAAAACACTTTAAAATAATATACTGAAGTGAAAACTGAATGTAATGTTTTGGACTCTATTGCATGTTAATTGCAATTAAATTAAAATGTATTATAGTTTAAATTTATATTAAATGCAATTATTTGAACTTAAGAAGGTAGAAAGCAGGACTTAAGTACATTTTTTTATATATATAATTCAGTGTACTGCTGAATGTACTGACAAAGATTTATGATAAACTAAAATATACTTTAATGTCTTTTCCATTTAAACTTGTATGTCATCTATTTAAAACTTTTAGTATCATCGAGGCACTATTATAGTTTTTAATTAATATTTTAAATCAGTTTTTGTAATTTTTCCTGTTTTTTTTTTTATATGTATATAGTTTTTATTCATTTATATTTCCGTTTTAGTTATGTTAGTACATCATGTTAAGTTAAATTAAAAATGAGAAATGTTGCTTTGGCAACTAGCTGAAATAAAATAACATTTTATATTTTATTTCAATTTTCATCCATTTCATTTCAAGCAACAATTTTTTTTTTTTTTTACGGTTTTAATATTAGTTTTTGTTTTCTGTAATAACCCTGATTTACAATATATTTTAAAATAAAAAGTCTAATGTGACATTATTACAAAGTGCACTTTTTAAATCTACTTAAGTGTACTTTTTAACATTAAAGTACTAGAAAGCCCATTTCTGCCACATAAGAATAAAGAAATTGTGCTTTGGTAAATCATAATTATGACTTAAAATGTCATAGTTATGACATAAGTCAAAATATAAATATAGTATAATTATGAAAAAGAAATGGCATAGTAAGTCATCATGAGATGAAAAGTCATAATTATTGACAATAAAAATTACTGTCTTTATGACTTAGTATATCATACTAAGATTGTGCTTTGGTAAATCATAAAATAAAAAAATGTGCTTTGGCAAATCATATTTATGACTTAGAATGTCATAGTTATGACATAAGTCAAAATTCTGAGATATAAATTCATAATTATAACAAAAACAAAATCAAAATTATGGCATAGTAAATCATCATGAGATGAAAAGTCATAATTATGACAATAAAACATATGAATATTAAGTCTTTATGACTTAGTGTATCATAATTTATCTTATTATGATGACTTTATCTCATAATATTTACTTTTTATGTCATAATAATTTCATAATCTCATTTTTGACTTTATCATAAATGCATGCCAGTTTTGACTTTCGCACAATTATGACTATTATGGGTAGGAGTATGTTTGCATTACTTTTTGTGCCATAATTATGCCATTATAAGACTTGTCTCATAACTTTTTATCTAATAATTATGACTTTTCATGTAATAATTTCTGCTTGTCATAATTAACTTATCTCATAATTATACCATTTTTTCTGAGACTTAATATTTTTGACTTTTTATGTCATAAATTTGACTTGTCATAATTGACTTTTTATGTCATAATTATAATGTATCTCATAATTATAATGTTTTATCTAATAATTATGACTTTTCATGTAATAATTTTTTCTTATCTCATAATTATAACATTTTTTTTTAACTTTTTGTCATAATTTCTACTTATGTCATAATTAACTTATCTCATAATTATAACATTTTGTCTAAGACTTAATATTTTTGACTTTTTATGTCAGAATTTTGACTTGTCATAATTTACTTTTTATGTCATAATTATAATGTATTGCATAGTTATAACGTTTATCTAATAATTGACTTTTTATGTAATAATTTTGACTTATCTCATAATTATAAAAAAAATGTTTACCTTTTGTCATAATTTCTACTTATGTCATAATTATAATGCATCTCATAGTTATAACGTTTATCTAATAATTATGACTTTTTATGTCATCATTTCGACTTGTCGATGTATTTATTAAATCGCAGTTGCGAGTTATAAAGTCAGAGATATAAACTCACAATTGTAAGAAAATAGTCAGTCTTTTTTTTCACTCAGAATTGGACTTTACTACATCTCACAATTCTGAGAAAAGAAGCCAGAATTCTAAGTTTAGATCTTGCAAATCTGACTTAATAACACAGATGCTTGACCCTCTTTTCCCCGTCACATAAACACATGCAGAGAAAGAGCTGAAGCAGGCGCCGCATTTTGTGGAAAAGCTGCAGAACACGGGCATCGCCGAGGGCTCCCCGGTGCGTCTGGAGTGCAGGGTTGTGGGGATGCCACAGCCGCTCATCTTCTGGAAGAAAGACAATGACACAATCCCTCACTCGAAGGACAGAGTCAGGTGAGTCCGCTCACTTCTGCTGGACCAGGAAACTTCAGCTGCTTCAGCAGGGTTTTCCAGATATGATCAACAATGTGCTTGAGAACATAAATGCAGTATATATTAAGCATATATATTCTGTGTCTTTGTTATCCCAGCATGCATCAGGACACTACAGGTTATGTTTGTCTTCTGATTCAACCGACCAGAAAGGAAGATGCTGGCTGGTACACTGTCTCTGCAAAAAATGAAGCAGGGATCGTATCATGTACAGCCAGACTAGACATATATGGTGAGCCAGTCATATTTTTTATATTTCAGCACAATAAATTAGTAAAGTTACAGTACCGTAAAATACACATACAGTACCTTTACTAGCTGGTGAGAAATAAATAAAGAGAGCTAAATTAAACTCCATCTAAAACTATTTTAAAAGTTGTTTTTGTAATTATTTTTATATTATTGCATTTTATATTATTATATTATTTTTATATTATTCTAATAATTAAACATAAACATTAAATTAAACTAGTATATCATACTCCATCTAAAACTATTTTAAAAGTGTTTTTTCTAATTATTTTAGGATTATTTTATATTATTGCATTTTATATTGTTTTTATGTTATTCTAATAATTAAACATAAAACATTAAATTTAAACTAGTATATCACACTCCATCTAAAACTATTTTAAAAGTGTTTTTTCTAATTATTTTAGGATTATTTTATATTATTGCATTTTATATTGTTTTTATGTTATTCTAATAATTAAACATAAAACATTAAATTTAAACTAGTATATCACACTCCATCTAAAACTATTTTAAAAGTGTTTTTTCTAATTATTTTAGGATTATTTTTATATTATTGCATTTTATATTCTAATAATTAAACATAAAACATTAAATTAAACTAGTATAACATACTCCATCTAAAACTATTTTAAACATAATATTTCTTATTGTTTTAAGAAATGATTCTAATAATTACAAATTAAACCACTATATTATACTCCATCTAAAACTACTTTAAACATAATTTTTCTAGATATTTTAGACATAACTAGTTATAAATGTAGAAATAACTAGTTATTTTAGAAGTTATTACAATGCGTGTTTTTATGACCTTAAATACAGTATTAATAGACGTGTAGACACAACATTAAATGTTTGTATTTTAATAAATGTATTTGTCATACTGCAGGACAAGTGCAATGAACTGCAAAAAGTTGATTAATAAAGATTAAAAAAATTCTGAAATGCACTTTCTCTTATACAATTATATCATATTTAACTATGCAAAAATGCTAAAAGATGTAGTTTTGTCAGCTATCTGTAAATAAAGTTACTCACCTCACTTATGCCGAATGCAGAAGTTTTTCAGTAACAGATATTTCCACACGTGTTGTTTCTGCAGCTCAGTGGTATCAGCACGTTCATGCACCGATGAAGAAAACGCAGCTCAGTGGGAGTCGATACGCTGCTCTCACCAGCCAGGGTCTGGATATCAAGTCAGCCTTTCCCATGAGCGACATATTCTCTGCCTCCCAACCAGAGCGAAGGGCAGAAAGCGAGGAGCTGTAGATGCTCGCAGCAGATATTTTAAAGTAGATGGAGTAACGATCTAAAAGCAAACGAGGATCTGATGTCTCTGCACTCATTTGTTGTCGAAGTCAAAATCTGCTCGTCCTCAGGTCATCGATGAGTTTGTCTCTTCATCAGATTTGGAGAAATGTAGCATTGCATCACTTGCTCTGAAGTGAATGGGTGCCGTCAGAATGAGAGCTGATAAAAACATCACAATAATCCACAGCACTCCAGTCCATCAGTTAACATCTGGAGAAGACAAAAGCTGAAACAAATCCAGCATTAAGACGCTTATAACTAAAATACCATAGAGTCCATAATCCATAATAACGCTTCCTCCAGTGAGAAAGTGTTCTGGTCTGAATCAGGAGAGAAATCTGCACAGATCAAGCAGCGTTTAAACAGCTCTAAACTAATATGTGGATGTGAGAGACAACAGGAGATGGATTTTCTCACTTGCACTTGGACTCATTCTGACGGCACCCATTCACTGCAGAGCATCCAATGCAATGCTGAAGAAACAAACTCATCTACATCTTACATGGCCTGAAGGTGAGCACATTTTCAGCAAATGTTACGTTTTTGGCTGAACTATATCTTTAACCTGATTTGGATCTACTGGTCGACGAGCATCTGAACAGGTTGTTTTTCCTCACTGCATTTAACATTATTTGCACATTAATTTTTCCTTTCATTATAATGAAGTTTGTGCCATTTGAGGCATTATGCAATTTTGTTCTGGTCAGTTTGTTGTAATTTTTTGACCGTTCTGCCTTTTGCGTTTTAATCTGGTCTCTTTATTGGACTGTGTGTCTGTTGCACTACCAGCTGTGAATGTGAGCTTCAGCAGATCTCTTTAACACATGACCTACTGCGATTGTTTCATGTTTCGGTGTAATAAAGAAAGCATGAGAGATCCTAGAGATGTCTTCTAAACAACACTATACTTTGCAAACGTCACACTGTCATCTGATCCTAAATGAAGCTGTTGCACTAGTGAAACTCATCTAATCTATTTAATAAAGAACTACATAAGAATAGGTGCATCTAAATTCTCTCACGCTGCATGTGGAAGGAAAAAAAATCATTTTGTTTTGTTTATATTATGAATACTGCTGCTTCAGGTAATTCTCTGCTGAGCAATATAACAGAATCTTATATTAAATACTATATTAGATATTATAAGTTGTTGTGGAAGTTTACAAAGCCAATGTATTGTTATACAGTCACTAGAATAAATAAATGCAAATACCTAATTTGTGAAAATGTACAATAGTTGTTTTTCTTGAAAATAAAGTTATATTTATTCAAACAAAGACTGTGTCTCTTCTTCAATGTGTTGCATTGTAAACAAACAGCACACTTTATTATTATTATTATTATTACTATTATTATTATTATTAATCACTGCTAAAAAAAAAAAATCATCCTGAACTTTTAAAAATGATAGAAATATTATTGGAATGCATTTGTAATAGAGTATATACTTTGTTGCAAATAAATAATTAATTTTTAAATTCAGATTTCAGATTTCATATTAAGAGTCCCTCTCCATCATCTAAAGCGGGTTGACTAAATGATAGACATATTATTGGAATGCATTTGTAATAGAGTATAAACTTTATTGCAAATAAATAATTAATTTTTAAATTCAGATTTCATATTAAGAGTCCCTCTCCATCATCTAAAGCGGGTTGACTGTATTAAAATATGAGGCTTAATTTAAAACTCTATAGAAAGCAAATATATATCTGACTTAGTAAATGCTATTAGTGGGTGGACACATTAGAATAGTCATTTATTATTATTATCATTATTTATTATTATTATTATTATTATTATTATCATTATTATTATTATTATTATTATTAATCACTGCAAAAAAAAAAACATCCTGAACTTTGAATAAATAATTTTAAAAAATGATAGAAATATTATTGGAATGCATTTGTAATAGAGAAATGATTACAAAGAAACACAAGTGAATTGAAATGTTAAAGTAGAAAAACTGAAATAGTGTTTTCTTCAAAAATATATATTTTTTTACAATGTAACACTGTGAGTATGCTTGTCAGTTTGTATCAAGTACAGAAAACAAATACAAATGTTTCAGTTCTGACTTTAAATAACAACTATAATTCCCGATTCTTACAGCTCACATATAAACATAAATCACATTAATATCTGTGCCTTACATGCTGTTTTGTTGAATTATTTTGATGCTCTCTACTCAAAAACAGCCCAGATGTTCGGCCTGGCGTCCCGATGGTGAAGCGTGAGAAGGAAGCCTTGAAAAAGGAGGCTCTACAGAAAGAGAAGAATGCACAGAACCGGCAGAAGAGCTACAAAGAGCAGGAGCGAGAGAGTCGAGAGGCCGCACTGCAGAGCTCCATCAGCAGCCAAAATAAAGGCTTCGCGCTACTGCAGAAGATGGGATATAAAGCAGGACAAGGCCTGGGGAAACAGGGTCAGGGATTGGGACTTTTAAATGGACTTTGCTTTTGAAAATAAAAAAAAGTTTGGGGTCAGTAAGATTTTTAATGAAGTCCCTTCTGCTCATCAAGGCTGCATTTATTTGATCAAAAATACAGAAAAACTGTAATATTGTGAAATATTATTACCATTTAAAATAATGGTTTTCTATTTTAATATCTGTTAAAATGTAATTTATTCCTGAGATCAAAGCTGTATTTTCAGCATCATTACTCCAGTCTTCAGTGTCACATGACGCTGAAAAAAAGCATTGATTTCTTTCAAAAAAAAGAAAAGAAAAGAAAGAAAAAAAATACTGACCCCACACTTTTGAACAGTGTGTATATTGTTACAAAAGATTTCTATTTTGAATAAATGCTGTTCTTTTAAACTTTTTATTCATCAAAGAATCCTGGAAAAAAAAGTATCACAGGCTCCAAAAAAATATTAAGCAGCAAAACTGTAATAAATCATGATTTCTGAAGATCATGTGACACTGAAGACTGGAGTAATGATGCTGAAAATACAGCTTTGATCACAGAAATAAATTACATTTTAAAGTATATTAAAATAGAAAACCGTTATTTTAAATGGTAATAATATTTCACAATATTACAGTTTTTTTGTATTTTTAATCAAATAAATGCAGCCTTGATGAGCAGAAGAGACTTCTTTAAAACACATTAAAATTCTTACTGACCCCAAACTTTTGAACAGCAGTGTAATATAGTTTTGTGTGCATTAAAACATGTTCTCATGCTGCAGGTGCTGGACGCGTCGAGCCAGTTCCTCTGAACATCAAAACAGGTTCTTCTCTGATTCTTAATAGCAAGTGTTGTTGATAATGTAAGACCGTGTTCAGAAAGGCTTACATTTGTTGGGGGTAACGCATTACAAGTAACGCGAGTTACGTAATCAGATTACTTTTTTCAAGTAACTAGTAAAGTAACGCATTACTTTTTAATTTACAAGAGAATATCTGAGTTACTTTTTTTCCAATGTATTGATTGACAGCTCTCTGCATGCGGATGAGTAGCAGTGTTGAGTAACACGTTTATTACAGAGTGCGCAAGAGAACCGAAAGAGAAGAGCGTCAAACACAGGGCGACCTGAGGAAGAGCCAGCGGGCCTGTGAGCAGCTCGACAGCCAGAAGGTCAGAAGACTTTAGCCTTATTTTAAGGGTTAAATCTTAATTTGAATATATTTGCATGAACGGAACTGAGGCTTCTCCGTATTTCATATAACCAAAACGGAGCGGTTTTAGTTTGGCATGCTCACCATTCACTTATGATTCTTTTTTTTTTTTAGGGCATCACTGTTCCCAGAGACAGCTGGTACTGGCCTGAAGCGTTGAAAGAGGAAGAGGCGGAGCTTCTGGAGGAGGAACCCAAACCAGAGGGAAGTGACGACGAGGAGGAACTCACAGTGAGCTCATGGCACTCTCGTTGCTAATAAGCTGCTTTGGAGGGGAACTATTTGTTTTATTATTTATCTTGCAGTAACTTTGGTCACAGGCTTGGATGTTTGAACATGACACTACAATTCTTGTGAAAATTGAGAACATGCCTGTCATGCTGTCATTTTTACTACAATTAATTCTATAGATCATTACATATAATTTTATAATTCATTTTGTAATTTTTAGATTTTTTTATAATTCATATATTTCTCTAAAGAATGTGAATTGCAATATATAATTAAAATATAATAATTTTTATTTTATGTATATATATACACCACCGTTCAAAAGTTTGGGGTCAGTAAGATTTGTAATGTGTTTTAAAGAAGTCTCTTCTGCTCATCAAGGCTGCATTTATTTGATAAAAAATACAGAAAAAAACAGTAATATTGTGAAATATTATTGCAATTTTAAAATAACTATTTTTTTATTTTAATGTACTTTAAAATGTAATTTATGCAAAGCTGAATTTTCAGCATCATTACTCCAGTCTTCAGTGTCACATGATCTTCAGAAATCATTCTAATATGCTGATTTATTATTAATATTGGAAGCAGTTTTTGCTGCTTCATATTGTTTTGGAACCTGAGTCTTTGATGAATAAAAAGTTAAAAAGAACAGCATTTATTCAAAATGGAAATCTTTTGTAACAATATACACTACCGTTCAAAAGTTTGGGATCAGTCTTTTTTTTTTTTTAAATAAATGAATGCTTTTATTCAGCGAGGATGTGTTAAATTGATAAAAAGTGATAATAAAGACTTATATTGTAAGAAAATATTTCTATTTTAAATAAACACTGTCCTTTTTATTCATCAAAAAATCCTGAAAAAAGTATGACAGGTTCCAAAAAATAAAAAATATGAAGCAGCAAAAACTGTTTCCAACACTGATAATAAATCAGCATATTACTATGATTTCTGAAGATCACGTGACACTGAAGACTGGAGTAATGATGCTGAAAATACAGCTTTGATCACAGAAATAAATTACTTCTTAAAAATATATTAAAATAGAAAACAGATATTTTAAATGATAATAATATTTTACAATATTACTGTTTTTTCTGTATTTTTGGTAAAATAAATGCAGCCTTGGTGAACAGAAGAGACTTCTTTAAAACACATTAAAAATCTTACAGATCCCAAAGTTTTGAACAGCAGTGTGTGTGTGTATATATATATATATATATAAATTGTACTTCTTTATTTATGGGAAGTGCCTTATGTGTGCCTCTGTGTATTAAAATGATTAAACTTATTTGTATTATTATTTTGAAGCACCGTTATGCCGTTGTCTTTTCTTCAGCCTTTAGACAAGCTGCAGTTTCTCACCTCGTATCTGCGAGGAGCTCATTTTTACTGCATATGGTGTGGGACGGCATATAATGGTAAGAAGTCTTAACGTATAATAACTGTTTGAGCAGATACATAAATTATAAATCAACTAAAATATTCTCATCCGACAGATGAGGAGGATTTGAGCTCGAACTGTCCTGGTGACTCGGCAGCAGACCATGACGACTAGAGCAACCTGGAATAATCTGGAACACTTGTTTTTAATTTGCTTTTGACGTTTTTTTGCATAGCTGTGTTTGATATTTATTTGTTCATTAAATGCTGCATTGATGTTTTGATTATAATTGTGTGTATGATTGTTTTATATCAGTATTGACCATGATGCATCACTTCTGCGTAACTGAATCTCAACCAATCACAAATGTGATTGCATTGTTATTCATTTCATTACTTTTTATTAATTAATTCATTGTGGTGTGGACTGTTACAATACTGTGGTATTTGTAGATTAACAATAATTAATTACTTTCTCCAGTTAGCCTAAAACAGTGGTTGTGTACATAATACTTGTAGGTATTAAGATTTTTCTGTGGTTTATTATAGTTATGTTTGATTTTTATTGTATAGTTTTAAGCATTTAGATTAAATTTATGATATTTTGTTCCAAATTTCATATTTAGATTACGTTATTTACATGCACTTAAAAACGGAGGTTAATTTCAGGTGGGCGGGGCTTATCAACACGCGTGACTTTTGATTGGTCAATCCGATGTTGAGCGATGACATCGGATTCCGGAAATCGAAACTAATAGATCTAAATGATACGAAGAAATGAAACTAAACTCGTGTCTGTGGAGGACGACAGTGTGAACTACTGTTAGTACCGTGTTAATTTGATTTAAAATCACGTTAATGCGTATTTTACTGCTCGTCCGGTTAAGATATGACGCTCTGCGTGACGCTGACATGCTGATCAACATAAACTTCTGCCGCTGTCTGTTATTTTAGCTCTGTTTTTATTCGTGCAATGGAGTCTCTGTCAGGGAACTACATTTCTCAGCTGAATGAGTACTACCCCGGTTACGTATGTAACCTTGGTTCCCTGAATAGGGAACGAGATGCTGCAATGACGTCATCGCTTTGGGAACACCTCTGGTGTGACGAATGTCTGAAGCCCTTATACCATCATGCCAATTTATTGGCCAATTGCGCTTAGCACCGCCCCGAGCATACGTCACATGTGCTCATATATGCGCGCTGCGCGCTATTTCATCAGATTTTACACTATGATGAAGGAAGCGCTATGGAAGGTACGGAACGGCCAGGATCGCAGCATCTTGTTCCCTATTCTGGGAACCAAGGTTACATACATAACCGAGATGTTCCCTCTCATAGGTTCACTTCAATGCTGCGATGACGTCATCGCTTTGGGAACGCTATACCATCACGCCTGATGTACCTAAGATAGCTGGAAGACCGAGGAAAGAGTCTGCTCAAGCGGAAGAGACCCGGGAGCCAAGAGCCATCCTCACGTCCAGACAAGTAGAACTTGATGAAAGTGCTAGGAGAGGACTAACCTGCCACAGCACAGACATCTCCCATCAAAGGCCCTTTAAAGAGAGCCTGAGAAGAAGGTATTGCTCTCGTAGAATGAGCACGCACCTCTAGAGGCGAAGTCACACCACGCGCCTCATAGGCTAGAGGTATAGTCACTATCTGACCCCGCATAGCAGGGGAGAAAGCCTCCAACCACTTGCTGAAAGCGAAACGGAGTCGAAGCAGCCTTAGGATTAACTTGGCCTAAGAAGCAGTAAGACTTAAACAGCCTCGGGGCAAAGTCCATACAAGAGGAGCTGACAGAGCCTGCAGATCCTCAGTCCTCTAAGAGAGGATAGGATTACCAAAAAACTGCTTTCAGTTCCGTTCTCAAAAAAAGGTTTCAAAGTTATCTGACAGACTTAACGGCTCAAATGGATGGCCTGCCAGGCCTTCCAACCGAAAAATAAGTCCCAAAAAGAAATCTGTGCTGGGTGGAAAGGCCTAAGCCGTCTCATCCCTGCATGAAATGGGAAACCAGCAGATTGTGTCCACTTAAGGGCATACAGCGTCTCGTGGAGGGAGCCCTAGAATTAAGAATAGTGTCTGTAATCTCTGCCAAGAGACCGGAACACATTTCAACTCCGCTCAGGGGGCACACAAATCATGCCCCGAACCTGAGTCAGCAGGTCGTGTCTGAGGGGAACCTCCCAAGGGGGCCGGCTAACAGACTGACCAATTCTGAGAA